CAAGAGTACGAGCTGAGAACAGCTTTTAAGAAAGTAGCTGATGCAGAGGCCGACCTGGCTGGCCAGAGCGGACCATCTCGACCCAAGAAACGAACTTTGCAGGTGTGGCCGGCCCGCTCTGGCCACAAAGGTCGATCCTTTTAATCTCCTGGTCACCTGGGTCGGCGTGATTTTGCTGTGGCCTGCCCGACCTGGGCCGCCAGCCCGGGCTGTCTCCTCATGCGAAAACGTTTCATACGCAGCCGACGCTGCGCCGGTGTACCGCTGCCGCGTCGAAAGTGACAGAGGTTCAACACCAGCCAGCGGTAAATTTTTTTTGGCACGAAAACGGAAAATATATATCTGCAGAGACGGATCGTGGTCTCAGAATGACATTTCTACCGCGTTTCCAGAATTTGGAGGGTCAGAAAGCCGATAAAACGGCCTGCCTCTGGCTGGTATCGATCCTCCGCCCGGCCGGCCAGCGCTGCGACACCTACGGGACGGCAGCTGGTCTGCTGGGCCAGGTCGGCCAGGTCGCTGGTCGGTCAGGTCGTCTTCTGACAGCGCAGGCCGTACGGGCCAGAATATGAAAGAATGGGCCTGCCGGGTCTGCAGGTCTAGCGGCAGGCCGCGCCGACCCGACTTAAAAAAGATTTGGCCCAGCTGGTCCATGATAAAAGGGCACAGGTCGCGTGGGTCGCACGTTTTCATACTTGGTCAGGCCGGTCGGGCCACGCGTTAAAATAAGATTTTTCCCGTCTGGCCTGTTTGGCCTGCCGTTTGACGGGCTCTAGTGGGAGGCTGGCCCAGCCCCTGGCCCCGCCTGGCGCGTGGACCGCATAAGCAGTTTATCTTCCCGGCGGTGACGTCGGTCGGCGAAACGCCATTCCGGGAAAAGGGAATCGGGAAAACAAAACGGACGCCTCCGCGCCACGACGTTCACGTGTGGGCGGTACTCGCCGACGCCACTCAAAACCGTGCAGGCGGGAGGAGGCAAGGCGGAGGCAAGGCGGAGGCAAGGCGGAGGCAAGGCGGAGGCAAGGCGGAGGCAAGGCGGGAGGCAAGGCGGAGGCAAGGCGGAGGCAAGGCGGAGGCAAGGCGGAGGCAAGGCGGGAGGCAAGGCGGAGGCAAGGCGGAGGCAAGGCGGGAGGCAAGGCGGAGGCAAGGCGGGAGGCAAGGCGGAGGCAAGGCGGAGGCAAGGCGGAGGCAAGGCGGAGGCAAGGCGGAGGCAAGGCGGAGGCAAGGCGGAGGCAAGGCGGAGGCAAGGCGGAGGCAAGGCGGAGGCAAGGCGGAGGCAAGGCGGAGGCAAGGCGGAGGCAAGGCGGAGGCAAGGCGGAGGCAAGGCGGAGGCAAGGCGGAGGCAAGGCGGAGGCAAGGCGGAGGCAAGGCGGAGGCAAGGCGGAGGCAAGGCGGGAGGCAGACCGTCGGGACCGTTTGCCCGGACGGTCAAAGGGAAAATGCACGGGCCGACCCCCTTCGCTTTGTCACCGGAGGGCCCCGGCCGGGGTCCGCTTGCCCGCGCAAACAGCGAGCGGAGGTGGCCTTGAACTCGTGTTTGTTGAGCTGGAGCGGGAGCCGGGGCGTGGAGGGTCCGCGATCGGGGCCCCCGTTGCCTCCTTCCGGTGCCTGATTGCGACCAGCCCGACCAGCCCGCCTGCCGTCTAGCTTGCCGTAGCCTGTCGGCCCCGACACGCGTATGGATTCCCCGAACAAAACGCCGGCAGTGGAAAGTGCGCGGTGTGGACGACGCACACACACACACACATATACACGCACACGCAACTCACACACACACACACACACACACAAACATACATGTACGCGCACACACACTCGTATAATAGCAGTAAACCGGGAGGCGCGAAAGTGAAATAGCGTGAAATTTGCATGAGGCCAACTGGAAAGTGTCGTGTCGCAGGACGCGGCACGGCCGGGAATAGGAGAGGAGGGGAAGGGGGGGGGGCAGTACGCGGAGGGGCCGCGGAGTGAAGTGTCGTGGAGACACTAGCTGTGCAGCAAGTCCCTGTACTGACCAGCACCTACCGGAGACTGCTGTGACGCTTCGGCGTGTGGCCGAGATAATGCTACCTTTTACGGCGTTAGCCTGGCCACCGCTTCAAAAAGATAAAATTTCCACCGACTAGCAGCTCCCAAAGCTAGCAGCACCCGCACAGTAGGCCAGAAGACCGGTGGAGGCGGCCAAAATTCTAGACGCGTTTTGAGCTCTAGAGTCACTTAATGGGACTCGAACCGAACTTGTGACCCCACCAACCCAGCTTAAAAATCCACTCATGAAGTCGAGGTGGAAACAGCGCATTCCACCTAGAAAGTGGCGATTCCACCTTGAGAAGAAGGTAATTCCACGTGGATGACGCCTTTCCACGTGGGCTTTGTAGATTTCCGCCCCGACTTATCTGGGTGGAAAACGATCTGTTCCACCTTGACAAGGTTTCCGTGTGGAAGTCGCAAATTTCCACCCCAGCTTTACTAGGTGGAAATAATTCTTCCACCTGGGCAAAATTTCCGAGTGGAAATTAGAATCTTCCACCTGGTATTGTTATTGCCCGTGCGTTGAAGTCTCCGAGCCATTTTCAGATTTCCTCAATAATATGTTAACCTTCATAGCTATCTTAAATCTATGAGCGGAAATGGGTGTAGCGTGAAAAGTTAGGGTGGAAGGACCATTCTCCTCTTGAGTGGCGACGTACCGAGGGCTGACTGATGGACTCAAACACATCTTTCATATTCCGCCTGGAGTTTCATTCCACCCAAGTGGAATCCATGTTCCACCCAGGTGGAATCCACTGCAACGTGGAAAATACAATTTCCACCTGGGATGGAGGGGCCACCTTGTAAAAGTAACCAATTATCACCTTGTAAACTGTTTCCACCCAGCCATTTCCACCTGACCCATTTCCACCTTACGTTTTCCACCTAGAAAGTAGCAAGTGGATTTTTAAGCTGGGAAAGGGTTCCTCGTTCGTAGATCAATCCATTGGTGGGGTCACACGTTCGGTTTCGAGTCCCATTTACCGACTGTGGAGCTCAAAACGCGCGTCTAGAATTTTGGCCGCCTCCACGCCGGTCTTCTTGCTCTGGCCCACTGTGACCCGGGGCGACCAAGGCGACAGCGGCGCCATCCGGTAGGTGTGCAGTGCAATGCCGTGGCCGTGTGTGTGTTTTGGTTCGCCTGTGGGTGAGGAAGGTGTGTGTTTGTGTGTGTTTGTGTGTGTGTGTGTGTGTGTGAGTGTGTGTGGGTGGCCGTTTTCTCAGGGAATTCATTACCCCGCCTGCTCTGCATAATGCATATGCGAAGTAGCTTGCTGGAGTACACGTTGAGAGCGGTGAAATAATGTGCCCTTTTTGCCGCCAGCCACTGCGCATCGATCTTCATTTTGCTCTGTGTTTGCTTTCCTTCGGTTTATCTTCTGCCGGCCGATTTGGACCGCTCCCCTTCCAGTGTAGCGAGCGCGGCGGCGTGGCCGGGGTGAGCAACTTCCTTTTTTTTCCTCGCGGGGGCCGCGCCTGGCCGAGCCGGGCCGGCCGGGGGGCCAAGATCAAGGGCGAAGCTGTGGCGAAGTTCCCCCGGGACCACCTCGGCGGACATGCACTGGGACGGAGGAGGCGGGGGTGGGGCAAGGGGTGGCGTGGCTGAGGGGAGGGCGGCGTGGCGGGGGGCGGCGTGGCCGGGGGCGGCGTGGCGGGGGGCGGCGTGGCGAGGGGCGGCGTGGCGGGGGCGGCGTGGCCGGGGGCGGCGTGGCGGGGGGCGGCGTGGCGAGGGGCGGCGTGGCGGGGGGCGGCGTGGCCGGGGGCGGCGTGGCGGGGGGCGGCGTGGCGAGGGGCGGCGTGGCGGGGGGCGGCGTGGCCGGGGGCGGCGTGGCGGGGGGCGGCGTGGCGAGGGGCGGCGTGGACGGGGGCGGCGTGGCCGGGGGCGGCGTGGCGGGGGGCGGCGTGGCGGGGGGCGGCGTGGCGGGGGGCGGCGTCGCCGGGGGCGGCGCACATCCGGGGACTTCCTCCCCTTTCGCCACCCGCACCGTCCGCGCCGCCCTGAGACAAGCTTGTCTCAAAAGCCTGGGCCGCATAGTGGGCCAGAAGACCGGCGCAGGCGGCCAAAACTCTAGACGCGTTTTGAGCTCAAGAGTCACTAAACAGGACTCGAACCAAAAGTGTGACCCCACCAATGAGTTCCTCGTTCGGAGAGCAATCCATTGGTGGGGTCACACGTTCGGTTCGAGTTCCATTTAGTGACTCTGGAGCTCAAAACGCGTCTAGAGTTTTGTCCGCCGCGCCGGCCTTCTGGCCCACTGCGGGCCGGTCCCGGCGGGGGCGGCCTGTAGCCTGCAGCCCCCGGCCATCCTTTCCAGTCTTTTATGGGCAGGTGCGCAGTAATTGTCCTCTCGCTTACACGCCCCGCCTTGATTGCGTGCTCCTGCAAGGCAGGCAGCCGGGCAGGCAGGGCAAGCCGTGCACACTCTAAATGTCTTACAATGAAATTTGACCTATGTTATTCGTATGTTACAGTGAATTCGGCGCAAGCATAATACAAAGCAATATTGCTTCGTAATACGAATCTTTTAAGCTTTTTCATTGTAAGATACAAAGAAAAACCTTCGTAATACGAAGAAAAACCACCTTCGTATTATGCTTGCGCCATTTTCTTCGTATTATGGGAAATTTCTTCGTAAGACATTTAGAGTGCAGACGGCAGTGGCAAGTGTCCCTGGGGCGGAACGCGCGCGGGACTGCGATGGAAAGTGTCGCGGCACGGGTTCCCTCCGCAATGCAGCAACGTTCGCAGTATAGCAGTTCAGAGGGGTCACGACCTCCGAGTATTTTTACATTCTCACATATTATTTCTTAAGTCACAACGATTATTTGTCAGGTCACGCATCACGCTTATTTTTCTCAAGTCACACAGGTCTATTAAGGGGTAACCTTCTCGAGGTAAGAAGGGTACGTCCAATTTTTAATCAGTGAAAAAATAATCAACATAATCCGACATAATATTGCAATCATACTTCTTGAGGTCCAAACGCCTTTTGACCATTTTGCTAGGCAACTGCTCCAAAACTAGCTGCGGTTGAGGGCTTTGCGCAAATTTGGACAGGTTTTCAGACATGTTTCTGAAATTCTGGCAAGATTTACACGAGTGCAATATATTCTCTTTAATTTTAATAATTCAGTAATCAGTGCACTTGAAAATTTTGAGTTGGTTTTTCCGGTCTTTATTCGCGGAGCGAGCGAGCGACCGCAGGGAGCTCGCTCGGCGGAGCGCCACTCAGCCATGTGATCTGTCTAAGGCCGTTTGTCACGCTTCCTGACCAGTCTGTCACAAAAGCCGGGTCACCCTTTGACAGATTCGACCGTCTGTTATAGATCGGGCTGTTAGTCACGCTGACCTGGTCACGCTGTCACGCTGACCTGGTCACACTGCCACGCTGACATGGTCACGCTGTCTCAATGATCTGGTCACGCTGTCTCAATGATCTGGTCACGCTGTCACGCTGACCTGGTCACGCTGTCACGCTGACCTGGTCACGCTGTCACGCTTATCTGGTCACGCTGTCACGCTGACCTGGTCACGCTGTCACGCTGACCTGGTCACGCTGTCACGCTGACCTGGTCACGCTGTCACGCTGACCTGGTCACGCTGTCACGCTGACCTGGTCACGCTGACCTGGTCACGCTGTCACGCTGACCTGGTCACGCTGTCACGCTGACCTGGTCACGCTGTCACGCTGACCTGGTCACGCTGACCTGGTCACGCTGTCACGCTGTCACGCATGACCTGGTCACGCTGACCTGGTCACGCTGTCACGCTGACCTGGTCACGCTGTTACGCTGACCTGGTCACGCTGTCACGCTGACCTGGTCAGACCTGGTCACGCTGACCTGGTCACGCTGTCAGGCCGGCCTGGCCACACTCTCACGCTGAACTGGTCACGCTTAGTTTGAGAATAAGATCTGTCAAGAGTAGCGTAAGGTTTGTCGCGAGTAAAGTAAGATCTGTCACAAGCCCGTTAGGTTTCGTAAGGATTGGTTGGACCATTGAATTTGAAAACGTGATATGTCGAGAGTACGGAAAGATCTGTCACGAGTAGAGTAAGATCTGTCACGAGCCCGTTAGGTTAGGTTAGGATTGGTTGGACCATTTAGTTTGAGATAAAGATCTGTTGAAAGAAGGGAAAGATCTGTCACGAGAAGAGTAAGATGTGACACGAGCCCGTTAGGTTAGGTTAGAATTGGTTTGACAATTTAGTTTAAGGTCATTAAGTACCCATCCTTCGATTCAAGGAGAAACCAACCTTTGTCGAATCATAATCCTTCGTGCGAATGCATTCTTTGTGGCTATCACCCCCTATAATGAAAAGAGACCCATTTTAAAAAAAAAGACATCCAAATTTACTACTGATGAAAAAGCATTTCCATCTCCAGCAGAATCCAGGTCAGCATCGAGGCCGAATGCCTTCCCCTCGGTAGTAAGTTACCTTAGGTTTGGTTTTGTTTCTAGTTAGGGTCACGGTGTCACGCTGACCTGGATACGTTGTCACGCTGACCTGATCACGCTGTCACGCTGACCTAGTCACGCTGCCCTAGTCACGCTGTCACGCTGACCTGGTCACGCAGTCACGCTATCCAGGCTACGCTGTCTCGCTGACCTGGTCACGCTGACGTGGTCACGCTGTCACGCTGTCCAGGCTACGCTGTCACGCTGACCTGGTCACGCTGTCACACTGACTTGGTCACGCTGTCACGCTGACCTGGTGACCCTGTCACGCATACCTTGTCACGCTGACCTGGTCACGCTGTCGCGCTGTCGTTGTCACGCTGTCACGCTGACCTGATCACGCTGTCAGCCTGACTTGGTCACGCTGTCACGCTGCCCTTGTCACGCTGTCACACTGACTTGGTTACGCTGTCACGCTGACTTGGTCTGCTCACGCTGTCACGCTGACTTCGTCACGCTGTCACTCTGACCTGGTCACGGTGTCACGCTGACCTGGTCATGCTGTCACGCTGACCTGGTCACGCTGTCTCAATGATCTGGTCACGCTGACATGGTCACGCTGACTTGGTCTGGTCACGCTGTCACGCTGACCTGGTCACCCTGCCACGCATACCTTGTCACGCTGACCTAGTCACGCTGTCACGCTGACCTGGTTACGCTGTCACGTCTACCTGGTAACGCTGTCACGCTGACCTCGTTACGCTGTCACGCTGACCTGGTCACGCTGTCACGCAGTCTTTGTCACGCTGTCACACTGCCCTTGACACGCTGTCACACTGACTTGGTCACGCTGTCACGCTAGCTTAGTCTGGTCACGCTGTCACGCTGACTTGGTCTGGTCACGCTGTCACTTTGACCTGGTCAAGCTGACCTGGTCACAATGCAACGCTGACATAGTCACGCTGTCTCAATGATCTGTTCACGCTGTCACGCCCGCCTGGTCACGCTGTCACGCTGACCTGGTCACGCCGTCATGCTGACCTGGTCACGCTGTCACGCTGACCTGGTCACGCTAACCTGGTCACGCTGTCACGCTGACCTCCCGCGAACTCCAACTTAATAAAGATTGTATTTGGCCTTAATTTAAAGTTTATTAATAGTTTATTAAAATGGCTGTATATGAGGGGATGGCTTTACTGTATCCCCGCACGCCTGAACCAAATCATTATTTATCAATTTTCTCATAAAACATAAAATAATCATCAAAATTACAAAATTTTCTGAAATTATTACACAATATTGCTAAATAATTGAAATTAATCAGTATTTTTTTCAATTAAATTATTATTTTATCTCAAATGTTTGCAGTAAGGTAAGGCTTGTGGTGGACTGCTCCCATGCGGGTGAACTGACAGCGTGACTCGAGGCTATCAATTACCCAACTGAATCCGAATCTGGTTGTGCCTGATATTTGAATTGGAACCTAGCCGTCGGGCGGGAGGCATATACACCTGAAACTAGAAGGTCCAACCTATCCTAACAAAACCTAACGGACTTGCCACAGATCTTACCGTACTCGCGACAGATCACACTCCAACGCAATAGATCTTACTCTAACGTGGCACATCTCACGCTACTCGTAACAGATCATTCTCCAACGCGGCAGATCTTACGCTACTCGTTACAGATCTTCACTCTAAAAAAAATGCTTCTTAAATTTCATAATCTGGATTTGAAGTTATTTGTAGAACAATGGATCTTAAATTTCATATCCAAAAAGTTCTTAAATTTCATAACTTGCTGTTCTAAACTTTCAGAAGTGGTTTATGAAATGTAAGAACTAGTTTATTAATTTTTTAGAATCAATTGGTTTTGTAAATTCACATTTGGTTCTGAATCTCTACAACCAATATTATGAAACATGATAATAGTTTCATTACTGCCCACAAAATGTATAAATAAAAAATAATAATAAATAAAACCTTTATCCCTTTCTTAATGAATATGTTACAAATGATGAAATCTAAGAAAGGTATGATTTCTTTTCACACTCAGTATTATAGCAAATCGTTGCAGCTGGCCAACGGAAATAAGCATTGTACTGTAGTGCAGTCGACGCTGTTAACAGTCAGAGGCGCAGCAGTGCATAAGATCCAGATGCACTTTAGGGAAACTCGGTCGACACGCAGAAACTACTTTGGGGACGAGGATGAAAGAGGAGAAGCGAATTGATATAATACGCCACCCACACGTTCATCGCCCGTCCCTACAGTTAAGAAGATGGAATAACAGCACTCAGTAACACCGCTTTTGGCGAAAACACGTCCTTTTTCCGAGGGTCGCCAAAATAGCTTGTAACTCTTGAACACGAGTGGTGGCTGTTCGGCACCACAAGCAACACTTTAACTGCACTCTACGCACTACGCGCACTAACGGTACAGCGAAACAAAATTGATGACGCGAATTTGCGGTGACGCGGACGCGAACTGGATACGATGTGCACAGCACTGGAGACAAAGACACACTAAAAGTGACGCAGTGTCGCCGAAATCCCGTGTGGCCGAGGGATTACGCGACCCTTTGCCGGGCACAGGTAGCTTCGGCCGGCCGGCGAGCGGTGATTTTCCGTGGAGGCAGCGCCGCCGACTCGGCACCCTACGGCTCGGCTCGGGGCGGCTCGGCTCGGCTCGGCCGGCTCGGGGCGGCTCGGCTCGGCTCGGCCGGCTCGGCTCGGCTCGGCCCGGAGGACGGTGGCCGGTCAGGCATTGCAAGGGACGCGATTTGCAGCCTCTTGGGAAATACTACACACAAATTTTGAACATGCATTAACTGGAGCATGCCTGCAAGTACGCTCCAACAAGCGCATGCCCGCCAAGCATGCACTAACTAGTGCATCATGCCATGTACACGCGAACTGAAGCAGACAGCTCTCCATACCTCTCATTAATGTAATAACTGTATGCACTAAAAAGTAGTAGGCATACGCTAGCAAAAGCGTGCTTGCTCCAGTTAGTGCATAAAATGTACGTTTTTCAGTTTGTAGACCGCCCCTAGGACTCCTACCTTAGCGGTTCGGAAAATGTTAACACATGCCGATAAAAATGAAAACTTCACCTCTTTATTAATTTAACCATGAATAAAGGACTAGGCAGCAGGACTAAACGGTTAAAAATTTCAGAACCTTGCTCTAAAATCGGCTAGCGTTATAAACTTTCAAAGCGAAAATCTAGATTTTAAGAACCGGAGTTATAAGTCACTCTGTTCTAAAAGTTTATAACCAGTTAATCTTAAAATCCATAACCCAAATCTTAGGTTTCATAACACGATCTTAAATATCATACGAAGGTTATAAAAATTGAGGTTTAGAACGTGATTATGAAATTTTAGACTCCTTTGGATATGAAATTTCATAATTTTTTTTAGAGTGTTACTCTAAAGCGGCAGATCCTTTGCTGCTCGTGACAGATCACGCTCTAAGGTAGCAGATCTCACCCCGAGAGAAAATTATAGGCTGCAGATTGGCTGCAGGCTGGCTTCCTCCGGGTGCCTGAGAGCGCTCGGATGGATCTCGGATGGCTGCAGACATTGGCTGTATTCGGACATACGTCAGCCAAAATCCAGCCATCCACAGCCGCTGCAGCCTCTCTGGCTGCACCTGCCAGCCATTGAAGTGTCCCTTTGGAGCCGAGTCGGCCCTGCCCCCGCTGCTCTAGGCTGCACCCCGCAGCCTACGGGATGCTCCAGGCAGCCTTCCTTCGCGGACCACGCTGCTCCCAGCAGCCACGAGGCTGCGAGGCGCTGCTCTAAGCTGCACCCCGCAGCCTTCAGGATGCCCCAGTCAGCTTTCCTTCGCCCGGGCCACGCTGCCCCCGGAAGCCTAGAGGCTGTGAGGCGCTGCTGTAGGCTGCACCCCGCAGCCTTCAGGATGCTCCAGGCAGCCTTCTTTCGCCCGGGCCACGCTGCCCCTGGCAGCTATGAAGCTGCGGGTCACAGCCACATCTCGGCTGCATCCTGCAGCTTCGTGGATGCCATCGGCAGCACTCATATCGCTACTAGGCTTCACTCCTTAGTACATGAAGATCCCCATGACGACCTTTGAGGGGGCCTGTTACGCCCTTTGAAGTTCTATGGATCCCTTAGTAGATTTTCTAGGGTCCCAACACCGTTCCAGATCCAAATCTGCTAAGTAATTTCATCTAGGACTTTCCGTTCCCGAGATATCAAAGATAACAAAAAAGTGTCCCGATTTTTACGAAACTTGCATGGCTTATGTATGTTAACGTATTCAACTCAAATATCAGCATACCAAGCACCCATTCTATTTTTTTCTATTTTTTATAACCCTTTAATCAAGGAGTGCGCCTGAATACCGCCAGCATCCACCATGCTGCATCCGTAGCCTACAGCCATTGCAGCCTATATGGCTGTATAGTCCTGCCGTAGCCCGGTTGCATCCGGCAGCCAACACGCTGCGACCCGCAGCCTACAGCCATTGCAGCCTACGTGGCTGGAAAGTGCAGCCGCGGCCAGGCTGTCGCTGGCAGCCAGCACGCTGCGACGCGCAGTGCGCAGCCTACAGCCATTGCAGCCCGCCTGGCTGCGAAGTCCAGCCGCGGCCTGGCTGCCACCAGCAGCCAACACGCTGCGACGCGCAGCCTACAGCCATGGCAGCCTACATAGCTGTAAAGTCCAGCCGCGGCCCGGCTGGCACCAGCAGCCAACACGCTGCGACGCGCAGCCTACAGCCATTGCAGCCTTCGTGGCTGTAAAGTGCAGCCGCGGCCCGGCTGGCGCCAGAAGCAAACACGCTGCGACGCGCAGCCTACAGCCATGGCAGCCTACATAGCTGTAAAGTCCAGCCGCGGCCCGGCTGGCACCAACAGCCAACACGCTGCGACGCGCAGCCTACAGCCATTGCAGCTAAGTTGGCTGTGCGTGGCAGCGTTTATAGGCTGCTTAGGGCAGCCAAAAGGCTTCTGTGCGCAGCTTCTGAAGCGTTCCACAGCCAAAGCGCTCCGTGAAACAGCCAGACCAGCCATTGCAGCGTGCATGGCTGCAAGTCCAGGACATCGCTATGGCTGCGACATGGCTGCAAGGCAGCCACGGCAGCCATGCATACAGCCAAAAAACGGTCCATACAGCTATGCGTCAGCCAAGCGTCAGCCTATCTGCAGCCTTCTACTCGGGACTTCACGTGACAAGTTCTTAGTCTTACGCGGCTGATCTTACGTTTCTCGTTACAGATCTTACACTAACGCGGCAGACCCTGCGCTACTCGTGACAGATCCTACTCTAACGTGGCAGATCTTGCACTCGCGTGACAAGTTCTTTCTCTTACGCAGCTGATTTTACGCTACTCGTGACAAATCATAGCCTGACCCAACAGATCTCTACCGCCACTCTTGCAATGTCAATTCACCCACCTGGAAGTTGTCCACTCAAAGCATCGCCTTACTCCAAACGTTTAAAATAAAAAAAAATATTTACTTGTATTAATACTGATTAATTTTAATTAATTAGCAATATTTTGTAATAATTTCAAATAATTTTGTAATTTTGATGATTAATTTGTGTTTAATGGGAAAATTGATTAAGATTGATTTGGTTCAGGCGTGCGGGGATACAGTGAGCCACTCCCTATATGAGCCCATTTTATTTATTCTTATTAAACAAATTAAGGATTTTATTCAGTTCTTATTAAATACTTATTAAGTTTGTATATAGGTGCAACTTAACGATATTCAGTTTTAATAAGCATCATCTGTAAGAGAAAGAAGTGCTCGGAAAAAATATATAAAAAGTAAATATGGCAAACGTGAGCCTAAATATAGTTTTTATTTACCTTAAATAAAAACCAAATATAAATTCTAATTTGTTTAATAAAAATGAATAAAATGGAACCATATACAGCCATTTTTAATAAACTGTTAATAAACTATAAATTAAGGCCAAATGGTCACACTGCCAAGCGGACATGGTGACGCTGTTTCAATGATCTGGTCACGCTGTCACGCCGGCCTGGTTACGCTGTCACGTGGACCTTGTCATGCTGTCACGCTAACCTGGTCACGCTGTCACGCTGACCTGGTCACGCTGTCACGCTGACCTGGTCACGCTGTCACGCTGACCTGGTAACGCTGACCTGGTCACACTGCCACGCTGACATAGTCACACTGTCTCAATGATCTGGTCACGCTGTCACGCCCGCCTGGTCACGCTGTCACGCCGGCCTGGTCACGCTCTCACGCTGACCTGGTCACACTGTCACGCTGACATGGTCACGCTGTCTCAATGATCTGGTCACGCTGTCACGCCGGCCTGGTCACGCTGTCACGCTAGGTGCCTAAAAGGAAACAATTAAGAAGGGAGCGAGCGAGCGACGCGAATGAAACGAACGTTAGAATGCTAGACAAGACACCAGACGGCGACAACATAGTCAACGGGACATAATCATCGCGCCGCGAATGCACCGGGGGTGCTGGACTAGTTATAAGATCGCGGGCTTCATTTTTTTTTGTACAAAGCAGATGAGCAAAAGCAATGGTGTTGAGAGCACCTTGAGAATGGGTTCGCGAGGAGTGTGAACAGCGAGGGCCTAGCCAAGGGCCTAGCCAAGGGCCTAGCCAAGGGCCTAGCCAAGGGCCTAGCCAAGGGCCTAGCCAAGGGCCTAGCCAAGGGCCTAGCCAAGGGCCTAGCCAAGGGCCTAGCCAAGGGCCTAGCCAAGGGCCTAGCCAAGGGCCTAGCCAAGGGCCTAGCAAGGGCCTAGCCAAGGGCCTAGCCAAGGGCCTAGCCAAGGGCCTAGCCAAGGGCCTAGCCAAGGGCCTAGCCAAGGGCCTAGCCAAGGGCCTAGCCAAGGGCCTAGCCAAGGGCCTAGCCAAGGGCCTAGCCAAGGGCCTAGCCAAGGGCCTAGCCAAGGGCCTAGCCAAGGGCCTAGCCAAGGGCCTAGCCAAGGGCCTAGCCAAGGGCCTAGCCAAGGGCCTAGCCAAGGGCCTAGCCAAGGGCCTAGCCAAGGGCCTAGCCAAGGGCCTAGCCAAGGGCCTAGCCAAGGGCCTAGCCAAGGGCCTAGCCAAGGGCCTAGCCAAGGGCCTAGCCAAAGGCCTGGCCAAGGGCCCAGCCAGGGGCCCAGCCAGGGGCCCAGCCAGGGGCCTAGCGGTCGAAGGGCCTTGAAGGGCCGCACTGTCCGGCAGCGGCCGCTCGCACAAGCAGCGGCAAGCAGGCAGGCAGGAAGAGAAAGGAGAAGAGAAATTGCCGTGGAAAGAAGAGATGAAGAAAAGAGGTAATGTGGTGGAATGTGCCGAAAGAACAGTGACGAATTGGGCGGGAAGCGGCGTGAAAATGACATCAGGACCGCCAACAGAAAAGCCTTTGCACGCCGCGGGCATGCCTGCGGCGCGGAGGCGCGGGGGCACGGGGGCTGGACGAGGAGGGGGTCCTCGAGGACAGGGAAATGCAAGCGGGAAAAAAGACATCAGCACGGCAGGAGTCTTGAATAAGACAGTTTTTGCCGCATAATCGTGCAGGGAGCGTCGACGCGCGGACAAACTTGACTACGTTTCCCGAGGGGGCCACCACTCTCATTTCAGGTGTACACAAGATTACGGGATTACGGGAAATTTACTAGGGATTACGCGTGAAATTTTCGAAAATTGGTTCGAAAACGTTGAAAAAAAGCTCAAAAACATTGAAAAATGACTGAAAACGTTGAAAAATGACAGAATTTTGTCAAGGATTACGTGATGACGCCATGGATTACCAGAGATTACCAGCCAATTTGTACACAGGATTACGGGGGTGGTGGCCCCCTCGACGTTTCCAGCGAGTTCCAGATTGCGCTCCTGCGACGTCTATTTCAGGTTTCTTTTACTGGAAACCGCGCGGCTTCGCTGGGATCGCTGGCGACCGCGGCGGCGTGTAGGTGGAGGACACTGCGGGGTCGCGAACAACGCAGCTCCGGGGGTGGTGCGGCGTCGCGTCGCCCCCTCAGACACAGCGTCGCTCTTCGGGGAGGCAAGTCCGAGCCTTCATTAGTTGAAAGGTTCATTCCTCTGGGGATTAGAAAGTCAGCCGATTTGAAGACAAGCTGGCATGCAGCCGGGATGGCCTTAGCCTAGTCCCTCTGCCAGATGGAAAATATAAATGACACAAGGTACATTCTACTATTCAGTTTAGTAGGCGAGGAATCCGGAGAAGGAATCAGTCCGTAGTTTATGAAGTATTTTCCATGCGAGCTTCCGTGTGCTCCAGGTACATTTCAAAATCATGTAAATTTGTTTGCAGGGCGTAAAATACGGGGGGGCACCACCCCCGTAATCCTGTGTACAAATTGGCTGATAATCTACGGTAATCCATGCCGTCGTAATCCTTGACAAAATTCTGTCATTTTTCAACGTTTTTGAGTCATTTTTCAACTTTTTTTAAAAGCCATTTTTCAACATTTTTGAACCCACTGTCTAGGGACGTAAAGGCCGGTAATATTACCGGTAAAGAACGGTATAATACGGTAAAATACGGTATTTTACGGAGACCCCGGTAAAATTGGTATTTTTCGGTAATATTGAAATATGGACGTATTTGCCCTTCTTTTGCTTCCACACGATTAATTAGGACGTAAGGACTGAAAACAGCGCCTCTTGGGAGCTCTTGGTTTGTATCTGCCCCTCGCGCCGCCCCATGTACTTGTAAGATGTCATCTCTGGGCACTTAAAACAAAGCAAGAAGTCAATGTCCTCTTCTTTTGCAAAACTTGTGGAAATGAAAATCTAACTACACAAGCCAAACCAGAAACTTCTTTGTTGCCAAGATAAGTATAATGTAAACTAACTTTAAATAGAAAATAGGAAAAAATAGGGGTGGAGATACTTGTTAGTTATTTGAGCTGCTGTCCAAAATTTCACGCGTAATCCCTAGTTAATTTCCCGTAATCCCGTAATCTTGTGTACGCGAGAGTGGAGGCCCCCTCGGTAAAATAGATGACAAGGTTGTGCGGCCGGTGTAACAGCGCCTGCTCTGGCTGGCTGGGCAGTCAGTCAGCCGGCCAGCATGTTGACGTGACAGGACTCCCGATGAGGGACCCATGGTGGGCGAGACGGGCCGTGCAAAGCCGAAAACCCAGCCCGGCAGAATTATCCGTCCGGCTGGCCGGAAAATAGGCTGATGCTTCCGCTTGACGGGAGCTGGCTAGCTTGGCGAGCTTCGCGCGGGAAAAAGTTGCCGCCCTGCCTTCTGTGGGCCGATCCCATGGATGCCTTTGACGGCGTGGTGCGGCGTGCGGTCAGCTTTGGAAACGCTGTCGAAAACGTCGGACGCGGCCAAGGCGCCGAGAGCGAGAGGGCGTTAGGGTAGGGCCTCGCGGCAAAGGAAGGAAAAGGATAAAACAAACAAGGGGCAGCGCGCCAGTCAGCGGGCATCCCTGGCGCGCTCCTTTGTCCGGCATTGACGCCTCACTGCGTCCGCCCGACCCCGCCCCGCCCCGCCCCGCCCCGCCCACACTCGATAACGCGGGGATAAATGAAGAGAAAAGGCCGAATAAAAGAAAATGGAGTCCAGATGGCCGAGGTGCTCGCGGTGCGGTTTCACGGCTGCCGTGCGTAGTGGCGCTCGTTCCAGGTCGTTCCAGGGCTGTTCCAGGTCGTTCCAGGGCAGTTCCAGGGCAGCTCCAGCAGCAGCAGCGCCTGGCGGTGCAGGGCGCGGGGGCGTCGCCACCCACCGCCTGCTTGTCTGTTTGGTGTCGCGGAATGGCCCCGGCCCGCGATAAACATGCACTCCCATCCTCGATGGCATCGCACTCCACTCCGCATGCGCAGTGTTTACCTTCTTCGCGCAGAGTGCCGACGATCTCGGAAGCCGGGGAAATTGCGTTTGCTCTGCGCGACGGGGTTCAAGCCGCGCGGAAGGGAGAGCCGTCAGAACTGGCTGCTTGATTGGGTTGACAAAGGGGGAGAGAGAGGGACAGAGAGTGGGCAGGAAATTAATGGCGTCGGAATATTGGGTGGGCGGCACGCGCCCTCGGCTATTTTCTGCCATGTGCGAGGATAATTATGGAAGGGATGACCCGATAGCCCGTCCGTCCGTAGGGCGGCCTTCAAAGACCTCGCCCTGATCTGATGCTCCTGACCTGGCCAACGCGCTCGACCCGGCTCCCTGGTCCCGTGGGCGGGCCTGGGGCAGCGTGGATCGTCGGCGTCGCTGCCAAACTGATTTACACCCCAGTCTCCCTGGACCTGGGAGATTTTGTCAGCAGATGAAGAGAGAGTCAAAAAGATGACGAGTATTCCAATTCGCGTATCCTTGCCGTGCGCGAAATTAGTTTGAGGAGGAGCTGGATGCAAATGCAGCTTCGTTTGCGCGACGCCGCCAAGGCCAAGGTCGGCTGCATCCCCTCTGCAACCTCGCCTTGTGCAAACTGACTCCGTGTGTCGGGCTCACAGTGTGTTAGGCCTACTCCGGGCCTCGCGTACGCTACTGGCTGCCCCTCTCCGTGTGACGTCACGCCGCGCAGCTCTCGGTGACGTCACAGCGCGGCGCGCGTGGGCGTCCGCAGCATCGCGCGGGGGTGGGGCGTGGCCGCGGCGCCGCGGGGCGGGGTGCACTCGCGGGGTGGCGCGCGGCGGGGCGGGGCGGGGCGGGGCGGGGCGGGGCGGGCTTGCCCGGGTCTGGCTGCTGCGAGGAATAAAGAATCCCCGCCATTTCCTTCGCGGGGTCCGCTGCACTGTGGGCCGTGGCCGCGGGGTTCAAGGCCTGCTCCCGGCCCGGCTCCGCGCCAGGGCCGCGCGATGAGATGGATGGGGGCTTGGCGGGGCTTGGCCGGGGCTCGAGATGGCCCCCGGTTTCCCCTACCCGCAGCGGCGCAGCGGCTTGGCGAAAAATAGATAGCACGTCTGGCGGACGTGTGCAGAAGCCGTCTTGAGGCGACGTCGCCCACACGTCAATGAAATGAGTGCTGCAGGGGAGGGGGCCGTGATACTGCGAAAGGAACACGAGGGCAGGTGGCGTCTGCCCGGACCGGCGCACCGTGGGCCAGAAGACCGGTGGAGGCGGACAAAACTCGAGACGCGTTTTGAGCTCCAGAGTCCCTAATGGGACGCGAATCGGACGTGTGACCCCACCAATGGATTGCTCTCCGTACGAGCAATCCATTGGTGGGGTCACACGTTTGGTTCGAGGCCTGTTTAGCGACTTTGGAGCTCAAAACGCGTCTTGAGTTTTGTCCGCCTCCATCGGTCTTCTGGCCCACTGTGCGGCGCCCTGGAGCGACGCCCGGCGGTAGCACGTCCCCAGGGGGCACCTGTCACCAAGCGAGCCGCCAGCGCGGTGCCCCGGCGGGGAGGCTGGAGGCCCCAACCTGGATCAGAACGGTGACATCCCGAAGGAAGGCCGGACACGCTCAAACAACAAACAACACCCAAGGTCGTTCGGGTGCGCATCCTTTCCCGTGTCTTCGTTGGGTTCGATTGCTCGGTGCTGCTCGACCAGAAAAATGGTCACGGGCTGCAGAAAATGCTCCCAGGCAGAAAACTAAATCATAACGGTACTCTTACGTCAAGCATACTGCTCGCTTGGGATGAAGCCGAATGAAGCGCATAAAAGACATTTCCTGATGCATTTAGAAAGAGAGAATCAGAGCGAATCAGCCTGTCACAGAAAGGGAAAAGTTAAAAGTGTCGTGGCACTCGACATGTTTGACCGACACTGCTAGAAAAGTGTGAATAGTAGTAGTAGGTTGGGGAAGAAAGTACAGGGTAAGAAAAGTACAACCCTTGTGGAGCTGATCTCTTGACTTTTAGCCATCCCTCGACCAGTGATTTCAACTTAACGTGAAAATCTGAGTGAGAAAACCCTGTTAAATCGAAAATCGATGTCATGGACAGGAGCAGTACACAAGAGGTCTGTACTTTTCTTACCCTGTGCTTTTCTTCCCCAACCTACCCTTACAACAAAAGTACAACAAAAACTGTATAATAAAAGTACTACAGGGATTGTAGAAAGTACAACGAGGATTGTACAAACCACAACGAGGCCTGGACTGCACGGCACCCCTCATGCCGGTCCCATTGTACTTTGTGCAACAATTGTTGTACTTTGAAAGAAATTTTGCCAGAAATTTGTGTTCTTTTTTGTGGTTTTTTCTTGCAAAGGATGGGGTAAACACTCGCGTAATACCCTAGGGTTAGGTTAGGTTGTTTGTGAACGTCACTTGTTCACAAAAATACCGTGTATTACGCGTAATACACGAAATTGTAATACCATTTTTGGGCCAAATGTGCGAAATTTTGGCATTTTACTGCCGTAATACACGAGTAATATCCCCGTGTACTCTGTACACGATTTCTTGGAGTGTTTACCCCCTCGTGTTCGTGTTTGACCGGATCGTTTAGTGCAGTTTCATCCGCGTCCAGACAGTCGACTGGTCACCGCTTGCCTTGTGCACTCTACATGTTCTACAGAGAATATTCTTCATATTATGGCGAAAATGTTCCATATTATGGAGGTGCAGCTGACCTCGTAACATACCATTGAGAATTCACTGAAACCTTATAGATATTTTGACGAATTTTGTTGGTATTATGGAGAAAATCCCCATCATAATATATTGGTGCAGCCTTTCATCGTAAGACATTTACAGTGTGGCTGCACCGTCCACCCTTTGCTCGCCTTTGCTTGCCTTGGTCACCGCGAGGCTACGTGCATCGTCGGCCACGCTTATCATTCCGGTGGGGCCGGCACTCCGAGGGCAGCGGGGGCACCGGGCGGCGGCCGCGAAGGCCATGGAAATGTCCCCTAAGCTACTGCGGGGGCGCGGGGCGCAGCGTGGGCGAAAGCAGACGACTGTCTCTCTCGCGGCCCCTGCGAGCGCCGCGCACAGCACTGGTAGAACTCAAGCGTACTTTTACGCCTTTCTTCAAGCGTAGTAGAACTATGCTCGGCTTCAAGCGTAGTTCTCCATTTCGCCCCTCTCCCGCCTATCTAAATGCTTGGGAGGATTATTTCTTCTCTGCGCTTGACGTCAAGCGTAAAGTCTTCAAGCGTAGTTGTATGCTTGAACGAAGCATACAACTACGCTCCAGTTTTACCAGTGAGGTGAGAGAGCGAGAGAGAGAGAGAGAGAGAGAGAGAGAGAGAGAGAGAGAGAGAGAGAGAGAGAGAGACAGACGCGAGAGCGTTGCTCGGAATCAGCCTGCAGGGATGAGTGCAAAACCGGAATTAGAACCGCCGACGCGTGGGGTTAGCGAGTGCCTCTCGCGGTTCGCGGTAAACAGCCGAGTGTTTTTGGCGGCGAGCTCATCGCCGAGTGGGTTGCTGGCGGGGCGAGGCGGGGCGAGGCGGGGCGAGGCGGGGCGGGGCGGGACGAGGCGGGGCGAGGCGGGGCGAGGCGGGGTGAGGTGGGGGCGAGGCGGGGCGAGGCGGGGCGAGGCGGCAGCGTTTGCGTGGGGGTGGCAGTCAGGTGTGCAGCGATGTTGTGCTAGGCAGGGCCGGGCAGGGCAGGGCAGGTGGAGTGGAGGTGTTGCGCCCCGGGGCCGCCCCGCGGGGTGCGGACGAGGCTCGTGTAATTTATTATCATTGCGAGAACTTGAATAATTTGGCAGGGGCCGGGGCGCAGCAAAGCAAGCGAGGCAGGGGTGGGGGCTGTTGGGTGGCCCGGCCCGGGGAGGCCGAGGGACGCCAGCCGGATGCCTCGTGAAGCAATGCAGGAGTCTGCTTCCGAGAGTCGTTTCCGTCGCTGTCTCTCTCGCACCCACCGGGCGCGTCTCATCGGTGCGAGAGAGACAGGCGGACGAAAACGGTTCTCGAAATCAGTCTCCAGGACGAGGCGCTGAAGGCGGGCCGGGGGCAGCTTCCTTCCAGTGGCTCGTGGCGCTCGGCCCGTGGGGGCGGCAATGAATTGGCGACGGCAGGCTGTGACGCCCCCCGCCCCTGCGCCGCCCCCGCGCCGCCCCCGCCCGGGGCTGTCAGCTCGGCGGGCACCTCGGTGGATGGATGGATGGACCACGGTGGCGGAGGTGGGCCTTACCTGGAGGAAGAAAGCAGCAGCGACGTGTCGCGCTAAGCCACGCACCCCCTGACATTTTCTTCTTTCCAGAACGGTGTCCATTTCCGCCCCCTCCGTCCTGGTTGTGCGCTCGGCCGGCGTGTCACATCCAACGAAACCGCGAACCAGTGGCAAAGTTCGCAAAAGTTGCGACACGAGCCACATCAAAATATTCGTTTCGTTCAATCCGCGAAGTATAGACCGAAACAAACAAAACCAAATTACCCTCGAAGCGCCCCGAAAGAACACCCCGGAAAAAGAAAAACATGAACACGCGGCCCCGTCATAAATTAGAAGAGGAGAAAAGGCAGGAAACGAACGCAGTGAGTTGGGGGGGACGGGGAATCTAATTGGAAAATCCGGCCGGCAAAATTGGTGTTGTGTTGGGAAATTGGCGAGGCGGACGGGCGACATGGGGTCGCCGAGGGGGCGGGGCGTAGCGGGGCGAAGCGGGGAGCCTTCTAAACAGGGAGGCTTCTTGGCTTGGTCAGGCCTGGCCCCGCCTGGCCCCGCACAGTGGGCCAGAACACCGGTGGAGGCGGCCAAAACTCTAGACGCGTTTTGAGCCCCAGAGTCGCTAAATGGGACTCGAACCGGACGTGTGACCCCACCAATGGATTGCTCTCCGAACGAGGAATCCATTGGTGGGGTCACACGTATGGTTGGAGCCCTATTTAGCGACTCTGGAGCTCAAAACGCGTCTGGAGTTTTGGCCGCCTCCACCGGTCTTCTGGCCCACTGTGCCCCGCCTGGCCCCGCCTGGCGTTGCCCGGTGTGCGTTGTTGAACTTGCTGCCAACTAATCGAGTTTGCGTGTTGCTTGCCCCGTGGCCGCCCCCGCCGAACCGCCAAACCGAGCTAACCACGTCGCCCAGCCAATCAGGGTCGACGGCCAGGTCAGGGCGGCGAGGTGCGGGAGGGGGAGGGACGGCCGCCGTGAGTCGCAGACTTCGCCAACGGATACGGGGCGGCAGCGGCAGCGCCTCGCGAACGGGCAGCCAAGCGGGCAGCGCCGGCCGAAGGGTTGCCTACCCTGCGCGGCGCGGCCAAAGCGTCCAACGCAGCGAAAGGCGCGCGCTTCCGCCGGCGCGCAGTCCTCGCCGTCCTCGCCGCCCTCCCCCTCGCTGGCGCGGCAACACGCCGCGAAGGATAAAGGGCTTTGGGCCGCGAATCTGGCCGCAGGGATTCGAACCGCGCGGGAGCTGCGCGCAGCACAGTGGAGCAGCGACGCCATTCAGAGATCGGGGATCGCGCGCAAAAAAGCGCGGGAGGCAGTGGCGACCCCCGGGGATGGGCCGGGTTGGGCCGGGGCGGGCCGGACGGCGTGGGGTGGGCGCGCGGCCCGCGGGGGTAGGGGCTGCACCACCCCTGCACCGCCCCACCCCTCGAGCCCTACCCTACCGTTTTATAGATCCAGGTCGAGGGGGGGTGGGGGGGGCCGTGGGGGCCAGGCCGAAGAAGCGAGAGAGACAGCGGCGCACAGCGTGGGGAAGGGAATGGCGTGGTGAATGGTGCTGCGTGGGGTGGGGTGGGGGTGGCGTCGCGGTCACGGCGTCGGCGCGCCTGCCCGATCGCTGTGCGGACCGCAGACGGTTTCCGTCACCGACCAAGAAGTCTTTTCGCTTCGTCTTTTTCTGGTGGCTCATGCCACGTTTTTAGAACGCACGCCGAAGTTCCACTGGGGTGCTCGCGGCCCCCCGCCCAGCGCGCTGAGCAGGGCGCAGGGGGTGCGGTGGGGCGGGCGAGCGTCGGGCGCGCGACGCCGACCCCCTGGCTGGCGTGCTGGGACTGGCTGGGCCACTCGGGGGGCGCAAGGCGAGGGGCCGCCAGAACCGGGCCAGCAGTCCCCCAAGCGAGGCGAGTGTCGAGCCGAGGCCGCAGCAGATCGAGCCAAGCCGAGGCAGGCCGAACGGAGCCGAGCCGAGCCAGGGCAGCCGCGCTAGGGCACCGCCAGGGCACCGCCACCCCTTGACCACGCTCCGCACGCGTCCCGCTGCAGAGCCCGCTGCGACCACTCGTCGCCAGACCCTCCGACTCCGAACCGCAGGTAGGACCACTCTACCTTTCTTGCAGCATGTTGCTCTGTCGCTGCCCGTCGCTGTCCGCGGCCACGATGTCATTCTGCGACTTCCAGGTCAACACGGCCAAGGGGAAACTACTCCGAAAAAATGTGTACACCTAATGCAAAAATCAAAAAAAATTCAACAAAATTCAAAATTCAGTAAAATTCATAAAATTAAAAAATTCACCAAAAATTTATTGAATTCATCGAAATTCTTCAAAATTCACTGAAATTCATAAAATTCATTGCAGTGCAAAAATTTAAAAAGTGTACAAAATTCATCAAAATGTGTCACATAGCAGATGAAAACTGAGCATGGCTACCGGTGTGTTGGCGCTACTACTCTGACTCTTACCAAAGCACAGGTGTTCTAGTCCTTAATTTTACAATTTTTAAAACTACGCAAGCGTCTTTCACGCCTCTACACGGTCCAAAATTTTGTTTGAGTTGGAACTTGTGGGTCAATTTTGAAGGCGCGGCGGCCGAAGGAGGCTCGGTGTCAATGAATGGCGTCCCGTGGTGCAGGCGGGCCGCCGCCTCCGCCGCCGCCCCTTCCCCCCTCCCCGGCCGGGCTCCTCGACCTTGCCTAATTGCGGGGACATCTGTTAACAGTGTCATTTCTTTGGGGATGGTCCTCTGTCCTCGCCGTTCTTCACAGAAAACCTTCTCGATTCTTGTGGAATGTGTTTCGGACGGCCCCCGGCCGCTCAGAGAGCGCACGTGAGTGCGTGTTAGCAACGCGACGGAAACACGCCAATACATTCACACCAAGGATGAACAAACGAAAGTTTTTCTTGATCGCATTTGACCCCCTCTCCAAGTCTCACGCGGGAAAGACTGACAGACGTGGGGGGTGGGGCGCCGAGTATGGCAGCGCCTGCATTCACGCGTCCGAACGGGTCGGATGAAACAGAGGGATCTGACACATTGTTGGACCCCCCCTACTGCGCGATGAAGGCACAGACTCCCGAGGACGTTCACCCCACTTCTTGGATGCTTCCGAGATGCCCTCGGTGATCAAGGCTCAAAAATTCATTGAAATTCACCAAAATTCATTAAAAACAGAGAAATTCATAGAAATTCATTGAAATTCATGAAATTAAAAACTGCACCCAAAGTTAAAAAAATTCATAAAAATTTAAAAAAAAAACTTGAAAATTCGAAAAAATTCATTAAAATTTTTGTAAAAATTCAAAAATTCAAAAAAATTCAATATTTCAAAAAAATTCATGAAATTCACGGCTATGTACACCAAAATTCAAAGTAATTCCCCTTGAACACGGCCGTGGTCGGCCTGACTCGCGCAGTGTTGTTGTTGTTATTGTTGTTGCTGACAGCCGTGTGTCGCAGTGCAGCCATGCAAACTGCAGGCCTCGTCCCTTTCGGCCTCTCGGTGCGAGTGGCATCGCGGGACAGCGCCGCGCCGAGTTTGAATCCCGCGCCGCGGTGCGCGGTGCGCGCTGGGCTGACGTCACGCGCCACCCGCGTGGAGCCCCACGGCCGGCGTCCACGCCGTCCACCCCTTCCGTTGGCGCCAGCGCGGTCCTGGCGATGCTGGCCACCACCGTGTCCCTCGGCGTCCCCCGGGCCCTATTCATCCGCCGCCGCCCCACACCCCGACGTCCCGAGCTTGGTTAATCTGCCAAGTTCGCGCCCCGAGCGAGCACCCGACAAACGGCCCGGTCCGGCGATGCGCGGCGTCGTCGGCGAGGTGCTCGGCCCCCGGTGGCGGCCAGTCCCGCCGGCCAGGCGTGCCCGCTGGGTTGCCTACCCCGCGGTCCGCAGGCTGACGCCGCCGGGGAGGCTCCAGCCACGGCTTTGTCTCAGTGCACAGTGGGCCACAAACCGGCGGAGGCGGCCAAAATTCTGGACGCATTTTGAGCTCCAGAAACGCTAAATGGGACTCAAACCGAGCGTGTGACCCCCACCAATGGATTCCTCATTCGGAGAGCAATCCATTGGTGGGGACACACGTTCGATTCGAGTCTCATTTAGCGACTCTGGAGCTCAAAACGCGTCTGGAGTTTTGGCCGCCTCCACAGCCACAGGTCTTCTGGCAGGCGTGCCCGCTGGGTTGCCTACCCCGCGGTCCGCAGGCTGACGCCGTCGGGGAGGCTCCAGCCACGGCTTGGTCTCAATGCCCGCCTGCTAGGCTGCGGCTGGCTGTTCTATTCCCGAGCCGCTCTCCGCACTCATTCACATTCCCGGCAAGTCATTCACTCCGTGCTCCAGCCCCTCCAGCCCCTCCAGCGGTGGTCGCCGTGGCCGCCCTGCGTGTCTGGCGACACTTTCGGTCGAGTCGCACGCAGTCGTGCGCGCGCCGCAAACTCCGGCCACCTCCAGGCGCCGTTTCTTTTTCGTTCGCTTTTCCGCGTCGAGCCTTATTTATTGTTTACTTTCCTCGTCGGTCACTTCCCTGGCCCTGCCGCAGGTCCTGAACTTCCAGTGACGCGACGACCTCCTACCTCGCGTCGCGAGAACTAGTTGACAGGAAGCGGAAGAAGGGAAGGCCTGAATCACTAGAACATTCATTTCTTTCCTTTCAGCTTAAGCTGAAATTTCTTTGTTTCTTTTTATTTTATTCCACGGAAAAATGGCTACATTGAGTTATCTCCTCGTCCGCTCCGCTCTGTGGGCTTTACTGCGATGCACCCGCCGCACATCGCCCAGCCGCACGCTCTCAGACTGTCGGATGCGGTCGGACGCCACCGCGTAACGTCCCGCCCGACTGTTCTTTTCTTCCTCTTTTATTTCCTTCCTTCCTTCTCTCTCTCTCTCTCCTCTCTCTCTCTCTCTCTCTCCCTCTCTCTCTCTCTCTCTCTCTCTCTCCTCTCTCTCTCTCCTCTCTCTCTCTCTCTCCTCTCTCTCTCTCCCTCTCTCTCTCTCCCTCTCTCTCTCTCCCTCTCTCTCTCGCTCCGCGGTCCCGTAACCGCTACCCCTCAAAGCCGCGGGCCGGGTCCCCATAAAGATGCCGGAAAAGGCCAGGCGCGGCGTTTTGCGGCGCGGCAGCCAAGGCGGCAGCCACACTCCGACACGTCGGCCTCGTAAAGAAGGAAATCATTTCCGGTGGGGTGGCTGGCGGCGGGCGGCACTTCGTCCGGGCCGATGGCGATTTACACCGGGACTCCCCGCCTGCCGCCACATCATCGCCAAGGCATCCTCCTCGCCACCCCCGCTGCAAATCGACGCGGAGTGTTTTGTCTCCTCTTCTTCTTTGACAACGAACGGTTGATATTCTCCGAGAGTCGTTTTCGTCGCTCTGTCTCACCCACACACGTGGGAGCGAGAGACACTGCGAGAAAAATTGTAGATGGTACAACAAAAGTACAACAGAAACTGTACAGTAAAAAAACAACAGGGATTGTAGAAAGTACAACGAGAATTGTACGAACCACAACGAGCCCTGGACTGCACAGCGCTCCTCATGCCGGTTCCATTGTAATTTGTACAACAATTGTTGCACTTGAAAAGTACACTAAATTCCTGATAAAAAATTTGCCGTAAATTTGTGTACTTTTGCTGTGGTTATTTCCTGCAGTGGAGACAGAGTGACGAGAACGGCACTGGGAATCAGTCTGCAGTGACCAGTGACTCGCCGACAGCCCGCGGAGAGGCGATCGGGTTTCCCTTTGACGGGGACCGCCGGCCACCCCTATTGCGCAACACCCCCCGCGGCGCACAGCCACTGACGTGCTTCATCACAACCCTGTCTTTCTTCTTCTTCTCCTTCTCCCTCTCCATCTTCTTCTTCTTCTTCTTCTTCTTCTCTTCTTCTTCTTCTTCTTCTTCTTCTTCTTCTCTTCTTCTTCTTCTTCTTCTTCTTCTTCTTCTTCTCCATCTTCTTCTTCTTCTTCTTCTTCTTCTTCTTCTTCTTCTTCTCCTTCTTCTTCTCCATCTTCTTCTTCTTCTCCGTCTTCTTCTTCTTCTTCTTCTCGCTACGCCGCCATTACGCGCTGCTGGTACTGTTGCACGCCCTCACTGTTGTCAAACGGGGCGAGGCGGCGCAAGGGCGCGGATGACGTCACGGTAACCTCTCGTGCGGTGGCAGAGCGGCGGCGAGGTAGAGAGAGAGGGGAGGGGGGGGGGTAGCAGCGGCGGGGCCCCAATCACAACCTAACCACGTCCGCCGCGGCCCTATGCCTCGCCTTGCCCGCCTTGCTTGCAGCGTGACTTACTGCGCCGGCGGAGGGGGAGGAGTGTTGTTGTGACGGTGTGGAAAGTAAGTCGGGGGGCCAAATTGGCGGGGGGCTGCACGCAGGCTGCACGCCACTCTCACTCACTCACTACTCAATCACGCACGTGCGCAAACACACACACACACACACACACACACACACACACACCACAGAGAGACAGAGAGAACACACTGTGTGTGTGGGGATGACGCCCTTTGTTTCCGTGTCCGACACAGAGCGTTGCGTGGGCGCGACCAATTCACAGGTTTCTTGTCTAGCGCCGCGTTGTTTGTGTTTGTGCGATGGGGGCGTGTGTTTGTGTAGTCTTCTCTGTGTGTGTGTGTGTGTGTGTGGCGCGCGCGCACGTGTAGGTGTGTGTGAGCAGGTGTGTGTGTGTTGTGTGTGTGTGTGTGTGTGAGAGCAGGTGTGTGTGTGTGAGTGTGTGTGTGTGTCTGTGTGTTTTGTTCGTTTCGATATTCCAATTAATGCGATGATGGCAGGGCTGGGTGTTATGTCACGGCCCGCCCGCCTGCCCGCCTCGACGCGTCAATCGGATTTCATTAGCCTCGCCGTTTGAATGGCGCCATGATAACGGCTGCTTTGTGGATCGGGCGATGGCGCCCGGATGGCGGCCGTCTCTCTCGCACTCCCGCAGGACGCCGAGCCGTCACCCGACGCACGACACACAGTCGTCAAAGGCCACCATACTCCGTTTTATTGTGGGCGGCATCGCGGGCGGGCAAGAGGGAGAGAGAGGGAGGCAGAGCGGCGCGGCGTCTTTCCAGAGCTTTGCCGTCACCGCGCGTCGTC